GTGTGTGTGTGTGTGTGTGTGTGTGTGTGTGTGTGTGTGTGTGTGTGATACAGGTATGTTAGTCAAAAGTTTACTTTTAAGTCATAATGACATTTATTAAAAACGTTTTTCAACATGCACATAATTTCATTAGTCACTAAAGACAAAAGCAAATGTGCATGCTAACGAGATGTTTCAGTTGCCAGAGAGATGAGTCAGAAGTTTAAAAGCATTTTTTTGCTGCTACAGGGGACCTGTTTGGTTATTAGCACCCACGTGGTGGCTTACAACCACCTGTAACTCTAGTTTCAAGGACTGCACCTCCCTCTTCTGACCTTGGCTGGCTCCTGCACCCTTGTGATGCACAGACGTACACTCAGGCAGTACAGAGACAAGTAAAATAAGTAAAATGTGTCTTTTTGTGTGTGGTTTTTCAAAACAGGGTTTCTCTGTGTAGCCACTCTGGCTGTCCTGGAACTCACTCTGTAGACCAAGCTGGCCTCAAACTTAGAGATCCACCTACTTCTGCCTCCTGAGTGCTGGGATTAAAGGCGTGTGCCACCACTGTCTGACAATAAAACTATTTTTTTTTAAAAAAAAAAAAGAATTAAAATCTGGCTGAATATTTGATACTTCAGGATGTAGAGCATCTTCAACAATTTTCAGAGTTGGTTGAGAGATATTTTGATTTTATAATTATCAGTGCTTTGCCTAAATACACAGGACAAACTGGAAGAAATACATTTGGGAACATTTCAGAAATCAGCGAAAATTCCTTCCTAATCCCAAGACAAAATTCATTTAACTGTCGTTTTCTGAAACTCAAGTTAGCAATTCAAGTAGTAATTTTTAAAACCAAACATTCTAGCTCAATACATCCAAAGATTGCTAACTTGAGGCTTGCATGATGAGAAATAACAATAGAAAAGTCCTCAGTCTTTGTTTTTAATAATTAAACCATTATGTTTCCATAGAAGCAGAAAACATTGCATGCACAGTAAAAACAGTGCGATCTGCATTATATATGACTGTAGCATGTGGGCCGAAGTATTTTAGGCTCGCTCCTTGGCATTGGAAGGGTACAGTGTTGGCAGTGTGAAGTGTGCATGCTGTGTCTTCAGAACCATGCTGTGAGTTGGAGACACTCAGCACAGTATGGGTGAGGGCTGCCCACTACACATTCCATTTTAAACTAGGGTTTGGGCCTTACACATTCCAGTACCTTCTATCTGATCCCAGTCTTCTAGGCTTCCACATTCTTTTACGTGACCCACACATGGAGTGTCACCCACAGTCGAAGAAGCTAAAGATCACCAACCATTTTATTTGTTCTCATACTCTCGGACCCAGAAGCACAAATCTCAGTAACCTATTACTGAGGAAACAAATTCAGAGTTGCTTAGACAGGGCGTTGAAGGATGTAGTCTGTTCCCTTTCCGAAACTGTCAAAAGTGGTTGCTAAAACAAAATTCGTTAAGGCTGGCTAATTTTTAAACTTTATACTATTGTTATTATTGTGTGTGCACATATGGGTGTGCACATGCATGGGTGTGTGTGTACTTATGAGAGCGTGTATGCTGTGCATGATGTGTGAAGATCAGACAACATTTGTGCAATTGCTCTCCCATCTCACTTTTGCACAGATGCTGGAGATCTGATGGGTCATCAGGCTTGATCAGCAAGTGCCTTTACCTACTGGGCCATCTTTCTGCACCGCCCCCCGCCCCCCCCCCCCTGGTAATTAGAAACAACAGAATGCTTCTCTAAGGACAGGATGAAGTCACTGATATTCACTCCTGCTCCAAAGATGCTCAGTTTGCCTTTCTGTTGCTGACGAAACACCCACCGTGACTCAAGGCAACTTAAGGAAGAAAAGACTTTATTTTTGTTTACATAACAATAGATAAGATACAACTGTAGGAACAGGAAGCGTTTTATCTACACACAGAAATCTGTGATTAGGAAGTAGGGTGGGCCATATACCTTCAAATTAGACCTCCAGCTACATTTTTCTTCCAGCAATGCTTCACATTCTAAAAGTCCCATAACCTCCCCAAACAGTACCATCAACTGGGGACTGAGTGTTCATATACACAAACTATAGGGAATATTTCTTATTCAAGCTACAACATTCCACCCCCTGGCCCCAACAGGCTCATGGCCATCTCAAAATGCAAAGTGCATTTAGTCCAACTTCCAAAGTCCCTGTCGTCTTTAAAAGTCCCAAGTCTCTTTTGAGACTCAAGGCACTCTCTCTCTCTCTCTCTCTCTCTCTCTCTCTCTCTCTCTCTCTCTCTCTCTCCCCAGTCTTGCACTTTATTGCCCTTCCCAGCGGGTACAGCCTCTTCTTCCGCTGCTGTTTCTTTGTATTCAGCTTCTCCTCGCGCTTGGTGAGCCGGTGCATGGCTCTAGTTTTCTTGGGTCGCAAGTCCAGAGGCTTGTACCTCTTGCCCTTGTAGAATTTCCTGAGGTTTTCCTTTTGAGTCTGGTTAATGACAGTGAGGACACGGGCGATGGATTTGTGGACAACTCGTATCTTGGAGAGCTTCAACACGGCGCCACCTGTCACCTTGGCGACGCGAAGCTGGGATAGCTCCACCTTCAAATCGTCCAGTTGTTTTAGCAGCTCTTCCGTCTTCTTGCCACGCAGGTCCCGAGATTTAATCTTGACCATGGCTTCTTGCTCACCGCTCTCAAGGCAGTCTCTTAACTGTGATAAAAATGAAAAGTATATCTATACTTACAACATACAACAGCACAGAATAGACAATCTCATTCTAAATGGAAGGAACGGGGGCTTGGTGGGGAAATACTGGATTGAAGCAAGAATGAAATGCAGTAGGACAAACACCATGTCCATGTCCCGTGCTTGGGGCTTCAGCATCAAAGGGCTTAGATGGTTCCACCCCTCCAGACTGCCTGCAACATCTCTCTCTCTCTCTCTCTTGGCCTGGTCCCACTTGCTGTATGCAGCTCTCCTTGGCTCTGGCATCTCCAGCATCTTGGAATCTCTACCACAGTACAGATTCACCTTTCCCAGCACGTCGAGTGGTCTTCCAGCGCCTCCTCACAAGGACTCCAACCCTGCCAAACATCACCCGGCTTTAGTGTCTTCCTGAAATTGTGGAGAAGGAACCCAAGACACTCCATCTTGCATCTTTCTCCTCAAAACCATTACCACATAGACTACACTGCCAAGCTTGGTTACCAGATTGACGACACTTCCAGCGGGATGAGAGTCCATCATGACAGGAAAAGCATGACAAAAGGACCAGGAAGCAGAGAGAACACATTTGAGAGAACAGGAAGTAAGGCAAAGATATGAACTCTCCAAGCCACGCCCAGTGATGCGTTCCTTCCAGCGAGTCTCCACCTCCTAAAGGTTCCAGAACTGCCCTGTGCAACCCTACCACCTGGAGACTAAGTGTTAAAACTACAAGTAGCAGTGATTCCTAAGGGTCCTCACATGGAAGGTGGAGCCAGAGAGTGCTATCATTAGCCTCTTTAAAAGCACGCACTCAATTTACTTACCACCGGCACATGCCTCTTCAACAACAGCTCCTAATGAGACTTAGACATGAGTTTGGTGGGATACATTTAGACCACAGCTAGTGTTCTGTACTGAAGGCATATCTGTTTCAGAACAGCTGATTTTTTTTCTATGTTTTATTATTAATTTTTATCTTGCTCTACATTTTTCTCTGGTCCCCTCCCTGCCTCTCCCTCCCCTTCTACGCTCTCCCATGATCCCTGTGCTCCCAATTTACTCAGAAGATCTTGTCTTTTTCTACTTCCCATGTAGAATAGATCCATGTATGTCTCTCTTAGGGGCCTCATTGTTGTCTTGGCAGAGAGCTCATTTTAAAACAGTTCTGTCACTCCAGATGTGGGGGTCGGGTTCTCCAAATGATCCCAGTTCTGGAGATGGGTTTATACCTTAGCTGTGTGCGCTCGCAGCTCTTTGTTGTCCAGACAACTAAGAGCATATGTAAAAATCAAGCAAATCCATTATGTAAATCTGTTTCAGCAGCAGCAACAGATGAGTTTGATCCTGGTCTTTAGCCTTTCAAAAGCTACCTGGAGCACCTGTCATGCCTGTGTACGTAATCAGGCCTGGATTAAACCTGCCCTCGGGCTTCTAACACTAGGGCAGGCTGAGAAGCCATGACTCTCTGAAGCCCTGTCTACCATTCGTTTCTCTGTTTGGGGCTTGGTGCGGGAGAATTGTCTGTATTCTGTCAATCATGTTTTAAATAAAACGCTGATTGACCAGGCAGGAGGTGTAGGCGGGAAAGCCAGACAGGACATGGAAATGATGCAAGGAGAGCAGGAGAATTCTGGGGAGGCAGAAGTTGATTCCTCCCACTCCTGCCCAGATGACCGAAGCAGCAGGATGTGAGCTGCCCCACTGAAAAAGGTACTGAGCCACATGGCTAACATAGATCAGAAAAATGGGTTAATCAAGATGTGAGAGTTAGCTAATAAGTAGCCTGACCTAATGGGCCAATCAGCATTATAACTTATAGAGATCTCTTGTGTGATTTTTCTCTGGGACTAAACAGCTGGAGGGCCGGACAGGACAGAAATCCGAACAATCAGGCCCCTTCATGTTATAGGGGCTCTGGTGACATGCATGGGTCCTCCTCCATCTTACCTCTCCTCCCTCTAATAAAGAGATCCGGGAAAGCAGATGAACTCAGGGTAAAGGGAACCAAGCCTCGAGAATTTCCTGCCTTAGCACAACACACCACATACACATGATTTCCTTTAACAACAGCCAATTTCTGGAGGAGGTTCAGCTAGCTCTAGGTTTGACCTCCAGGTCCTAGGGCTTCCATTCTCCACACCAGTGAACCAGTATGCCATACATGTGTCGGGGATACCTGTAGACACATCCCTGCTCTCGAAGCCCCTGCTTAAGCAGCAACAGGGAGGACAAGACAAGAAGGGTAACACATGATACAATGGCAAGTTGAGCAAGCACTTGAAGGAAGCCTACAGGCTCCTGCTGAGACCAGTGGCGAGGCTAGAAGCCCTATGGAGCTGTGACACCAAGGAGAAGTGCTGTAAGCTAAGAAGGAAGCAGTCCAGCCCTGAGCTTCCAGGGAGTCACGTGGCACCTAGAGATTAGGTAATAAAAGGGATGTGGCTAGTCTATGGACAGGACAGAGCCCACACCCACTGGACAGGGACCAGCTGTAGGAGATGGAAGAGCCAAGTCCCTTAGCCAGCGGGAGACACAAATGTCCCTATGGGCCTCAGCAGTCAGGCCTGGCTGGTGAAAGAGCCCCTTTCCCTCCCTCTGGACTCCAGCAGCAGCATCGCAAGCTGGTCAATCAAGACTACCTCAGGCATCCCTTTCTTTCTCCGGAGAAAGCCACAGGAAGCTACTCCCTTGATGGGCCGCGGCACGCTGTTTTCTCTCTTTGAAAAGAGAAGCATCCTTCAGCCTGGCCACGTCTCCTGCCTACAGTCACGGAAAAGTCTCGAATCTTCAAGATGTTGAAGGAGGCCTTCTGCCCACTGGAAGGACGGGAATCCTTAGCCAACCTCCCCCCCCTCCTCCCACCTCTCCCCACTCCTTCACCCTCCACCCCTCCACCACAGTTGCTTTCAGGTAGCAGACTACTGTTTCCCCACTAGGTGGGGCCCTTGAACTCTGCAACACCTTGATCTGCTTAACTTGGAAGCTAGCTCCGAAATTTCATTCAGGGCAGACAGAAAAATCTTTGCTGTGGGAGTGCAAACTGGTGCAGCTGCTTTGGAAATCAGCATGGAGATTTCTCAGAAAATTAAGAAACAACCTACCTCAACACCCAGCAATACCACTTTTGGGTATATGCCCAAAGGATGCTCAATCATACCACAAGGACATGTGCTCAATTATGTTCATAGCAGCATTGTTTGTCACAGCCAGAACCTGGAAACAACCTAAATGTCCCTGGACCAAAGAATAGATCAGGAAAATGTTGTACACTTACACCATGGAGTACTACACAGTGGGAAAAAAATAATGATACCTTGAAATTTTCGGGCAAATGGATGATTTAGAAAACATCATATTGAGTGAGATAACCCAGACCCAGAAAGACAATTATCACATGTACTCACTCATAAGTGGCTTTTAGACATAAAGCAAAGAAAACCAGCCTACAATTCACAATCTCAAAGAACCTAGACAACAATGAGGATAAATGTATGTAGGCTTGGAAGAGAGAAGAAAAAGAGTATAGAGAGTTAAGAAAAAAAGTTAAAGGGGGGGGGGCAAAGTCTTTAAAGAGACAGAGTACAGATGGTCATAGATTAAAAGGGTAAAGAAAAATAAGCCATGTAAAAATGGAAAATTCACAGAGAGTCTGGATTATGTATATTGTGTTTTCTTTAAATTTTTTGACTGTGAAGGAGCTAAGTACAGAGAGACATTTCATTGTATGGGCTGCTAAACTAAACCAGCATGTATATTATAAAGGTATCATGACTTTTAAATTTGGGTCTAAAAATATGTTGCTTTGGAAAAGTTCTTCTCTTGCTTCCACAGAAGATGAAAACCTGTGGATACTTCCAGACCAATATGGTTTCATGGACCAAGGACTCCTGAAAGGTCGCCGTGAACACCCTCAAAAAATTATTTCACCCAACTGCTGACTGAGATGAACCTAGCACACAGGATATACCATGAAAGACCTGAATAACAGCGTCCCCAAACAGCAGGAAGCAGTATGGATAAAACTACACCCATATTTCCAAATATTGTTTATAAATGTTCTTTTTCATTTAAATGGGGATATGCTATAGAGATTTGCATTGGTATGTATCTTGGTTTGTTGATATAAATTTAAGGTCAATTTTGTTATACTGTGTACATATATTTCTGCTCTTGATTGTGGTATTGTGATTGTGTCGCTCATTTGAAAATGTAATGTAATTAAGAAATATAGCTTAAAAGATAGTCATCTATAATAGTCAAAATTGTAGTCATGTTAGTTAGGTTTTCTAAATATGTAGAAATATATTTCAGTTTTGGCTGCCTGCATGTCCGTGTGAGGGTATCAGATCCCCTAGAACTGGAGTTACAGACAATTCTGAGCTGTCATGTGGGTCCTCTAGAAAGGAATCAGGGATCTTAACCACTGAGCCATCTCTCCGGCCCCCAAGACCAGCTCTTTTCTTAGGACTTTGACACTAGGCTGCAAGCATAACCTTCCACTAGCCCAGCATGACAACCTCTTTGCTCTGCTGGCGCTCCACTTTTATTTAACTCTAAATCCTAGACACCTGGGGCTGCTTTCCATTCCCCCAGAAGCCTGGAGACACTTCTGCTATGAAGGCTGAAGTTGATTAGGCTTGTGTGCCTCAACTGGGGCTGGTTTCTGTGGTTTTACACGGTACCTGGGGAGCCACATCCTACCCGGCTTCTCTCTCTTTTCAGAGCCTCCCACCCCAGCCTAGCCCCATGCTTCTTCTACTGAATGTTCTTCTGCTCCCACCTAGCATCGGCTGTCTCCAGAGAGGGCCAGACAAGCAGTCCCTCCAAGAAGTAGGGCACAGTTTCCAGCACCCCTGAGACTCTGGCCTTGTTCCATGGATATCCTGTTCCTGAGGGAATGCAACATGAGATGGCATCCATGAAATGAACTCTCACAGGCCATATAAGATCAGGGAAAGGAGAAGAAGCCTTTCTTTGGCCTT